TAGATTCTCACTGAAAGCATCAAAACTATGAATGAACACATGTGGAGTTATGTACTTAACAAAAAAAGGTGAAATAACTGAAAACATATTTTATATTCTAGTTTCTTCAAAATAGCCACCCTTTGCTCTGATTACTGCTTTGCACACTCTTGGCATTCTCTTGATGAGCTTCAAGAAGTAGTCACCTGAAATGGTTTTCCAACAGTCTTGAAGGAGTTCCCAGAGGTGTTTAGCACTTGTTGGCCCCTTTGCCTTCACTCTGCGGTCCAGCTCACCCCAAACCATCTGGATTGGGTTCAGGTCCGGTGACTGTGGAGGCCAGGTCATCTGCCGCAGCACTCCATCACTCTCCTTCTTGGTCAAATAGCCCTTACACAGCCTGGAGGTGTGTTTGGGGTCATTGTCCTGTTGAAAAATAAATGATGGTCCAACTAAACGCAAACCGGATGGGATGGCATGTCGCTGCAGGATGCTGTGGTAGCCATGCTGGTTCAGTGTGCCTTCAATTTTGAATAAATCCCCAACAGTGTCACCAGCAAAACACCCCCACACCATCACACCTCCTCCTCCATGCTTCACAGTGGGAACCAGGCATGTGGAATCCATCCGTTCACCTTTTCTGCGTCTCACAAAGACACGGCGGTTGGAACCAAAGATCTCAAATTTGGACTCATCAGACCAAAGCACAGATTTCCACTGGTCTAATGTCCATTCCTTGTGTTTCTTGGCCCAAACAAATCTCTTCTGCTTGTTGCCTCTCCTTAGCAGTGGTTTCCTAGCAGCTATTTGACCATGAAGGCCTGATTGGCGCAGTCTCCTCTTAACAGTTGTTCTAGAGATGGGTCTGCTGCTAGAACTCTGTGTGGCATTCTGGCATCTGGTCTCTGATCTGAGCTGCTGTTAACTTGCGATTTCTGAGGCTGGTGACTCGGATGAACTTATCCTCAGAAGCAGAGGTGACTCTTGGTCTTCCTTTCCTGGGTCGGTCCTCATGTGTGCCAGTTTCGTTGTAGCGCTTGATGGTTTTTGCGACTCCACTTGGGGACACATTTAAAGTTTTTGCAATTTTCCGGACTGACTGACCTTCATTTCTTAAAGTAATGATGGCCACTCGTTTTTCTTTAGTTAGCTGATTGGTTCTTGCCATAATATGAATTTTAACAGTTGTCCAATAGGGCTGTCGGCTGTGTATTAACCTGACTTCTGCACAACACAACTGATGGTCCCAACACCATTGATAAAGCAAGAAATTCCACTAATTAACCCTAATAAGGCACACCTGTGAAGTGGAAACCATTTCAGGTGACTACCTCTTGAAGCTCATCGAGAGAATGCCAAGAGTGTGCAAAGCAGTAATCAGAGCAAAGGGTGGCTATTTTGAAGAAACTAGAATATAAAACATGTTTTCAGTTATTTCACCTTTTTTTGTTAAGTACATAACTCCACATGTGTTCATTCATAGTTTTGATGCCTTCAGTGAGAATCTACAATGTAAATAGTCATGAAAATAAAGAAAACGCATTGAATGAGAAGGTGTGTCCAAACTTTTGGCCTGTACTGTATATACATACATATGTGAAGCAGAAATGATTTTCTTCTTCTCACCTACAATGTTAATCATCCTGTGACCTCGCAAGTTTATATTGTGACCTCTTGGCATGTCCTGAACCCCAGGCTGGAAACCATTGCTTTAAGCAATGATGGGATAGGGGTCATCTAATGTCAAGAAGTTATCTCTATCATTAAAATTACAATGTGGTGATAGAATCCCAGACACTTATCACATTATGTGATATTACTGTAGCCTGTTTCATATTAGTTTGCTTCATATAGTGTGCTTTCATATTTAATTACACCATACACTGTATTATGTTGTGTTATCTTGTATCATCTTGTATCACATCATATTCTATATGAATCACTGTGTCAGACAGGAAGCTAATTAGTCTAAACAGACAATTGTTCCAACTTGTGTAAATCTGGGCCAGAAACATAAAAGGGAAGACGTGTTGTTCCCGCTGTAGCTTTTAAGTAGGCTACCCTGATTTTTCTTACAGCATCTGGTCTGCCAGGATATTCTGTGTTGTTTTTGAGCTGAATTACTTATTAATTCCCGCAAAGCCAACAGATACATTTCAGTTTGTAAAGTGAGACTTGCTGAGAAATGACTAGAACATGAAGGATACATTAGAAAATGAACATAACGATAGCAGCTCAGAGGGCGTCTATAAAAAGACTCATTCCCCATTTCCCAGCTCCTTTTGACTAGATTACAGCCTCCAGCACATATATCTCCCACGAGGAGCTTTAGCTGCTCAGGTTGCTGTGAAAAATGAGCAAAATAGTGCCCTCTCCTTAAATGGGATGTCCCAAAATTTGCTCAAATGGCAAAAAATGGTGATGTGTTATTACTAACATCCCCAGTAATCTTATCCTAACCTTTGGCAGGATGCAATAACATGACAAAACAGACAAAATGAGGCAACTGGATGGAACATTGTCTCAACATCTTAGACACATTTTTATGAAACACTGTCACCAGTCAGTGCAACTGTAACATCAGTTTATACTGAGCAGCACAAGACTTCATCTGACCTACAAAAGCCTGTCACTCATTCAAAACATTTAACTTGTGTTGACATTTAAAATGAATATCATCAGGCCGTGAATCACTGCTACCAAAGTGAAGTTTCCTTTTATCATTCTGTAACTCAGAAGATCTAAGACACTGTGTCAGAATGAGAGAGTCCACCGAAACTGTGTCTCTGTTTCTAATTTGTTTTGACAGCTATCATCAAATGTCCTTCATCAGAACATGTTTTAATCAAGTCCATTCACATATTTCACATCATCAATGGGCACCTTTGTAGTCAAAAGCACATTACAGTAGCAAATATGTAAAACTGAAAATATGCAATGAAAGCTGAGGTAGCATTGTACAATAAAGAAAAATGTCTACATGGAAGAGGAAATAAACTGAACTAGAAATGAACATGCCTGTAAGGGGAAAAGCTTTTCAGGGGCACGATTTCATGGTAGGGTGGTAAAAAACATATCCATTCAAATACAAGCAATGATAACCAAATTTTATTTCAGGTCCAGCAAACACCAACTTTCCCAAGAAACACAGACTTTCACCTGGGAGAGCAGTGTTTGTGTCTCGTACAATTATAGAAGTCAAACCCAGTTCTTCAACCACGTGGGTTTGTTGCCTAAACCCAACAATGTGCATTAGTTGTTGGAGGAAAAAAATGTCAATTCGCATTGTTGTAGTGACGTAGTGCGTTTATTTTGGAAGAGACTGTATGTAAACAATACATTTCCTGTGAAAATAGAAGTGTATTTTGAAAGACAATGCATGTAATAGGCAAAACTTGACAAAGCAGTGACGGACTCAGGATGTTTGAAGGGCAGGGGCGAAAAGGAAAAAAGGGCACCTACTGCATGACATGGGAACAAGAGGGCAGCCAAAAGGGCACATCTGCTCGTTTTCATCCAATAGGGCACATTGCCTTGTTTTGATCACTCAAGAGGGCAGCCAAAAGGGCACATCCTCTCGTTTTTGTTAATCAAGAGGGCAACCAGGGGGGGCAGTTGCCCCTGACATGGAAGGTCCATGGCCAAATATTGATACGTGACGAGGTTGTAGTGAGAATGTGTTGCCCGGACCCCTGAAGTCAGGTCTAAGCTCCAAATGTCCTCAAACCCTACAAACGATGTCCCTTTAGCATTAGATAAAAACATAAAACAGTTCACATCATAGCATACACTCCTAAAGATCAACTTCTCTACTGCCCCCCCATTCAAAGCCATCTAGATCCTGGCCTGGCCACATGAGCTTAGAAATTTACTGATCTAAACTATTTGCTAATGTTGCAGTAAATGTCCTTGCTAAGCCAGGACCTGCACATGAATCATGATGCCAAAAAGACAGGAGAAGAAAAAGATGGAGCTAGAAGGAGCTTTCTATCCAATTAATAATGTAACGAACAAAAGCTGCTCCCAGCTAGGCTGAGGGGGCAAACGATAGCCAGGAGGCTATGGCTAAGTTACTAGCCATTCATTCATTTTCCATAACCACTTGTCCTGTTAGGGGTTGTGGAGGGCTGGAGCCTATCCCAGTTGACATTGGGCGAGAGGCGGGGTACCTTTTCAAGGGCCAAGCCATTTCTGTGGGCAGGCCTGGAAATAAATGAAAAACAAAAATGTAAAATCCTTCATCTCCATCATTTCATCTACCTCCCATCTGCCAGCTGTGGTGAACCACAGTCATGTCGTACGGTCATGAGGATGATAATTGTACATCTGCCTATCTCCATAAAGAACAGAAATCTTCAACTGGATTGGAAAATGGTGCGTAGCGTGGGCGAAACTCCATTAAAAAAAACACAACAAAACACTAGAACAACATGAGCTAGGTTATGATGTCTGAATAAAGACTTTGGATGTGAGGGTTTACACAATGGGCGTAATGATTAACACATCTGAGAATAATACATTTCATTATAAAAACCCATTTTGATCACTCACACTGAATGCATCACTGGGCCTTTTGAATAATAACTGTGATTCTGTATGAAAGCGATGAAAAGTACATTTACTGTGGTGAGAAAATGAGCTATTTCACACAGTGCGTTGAGGATGATGACTGCCATTTGATAACTGTGCCAAGAAAAAAACTGTAAAGGAATAACTTGGTTAGAAACAGAGCTACAGTTGTACAAAATGTACAAATATCACTATGAACACACATCTGAGAACTACAGAGCTCCCTTAATAATGAAAAAGAGTAGTCTATTACTGCGTGTGTTACATTATCATTATGTTAAATGCGTAATTATCATCTCATGAACCTCAAATGAACCCTGACACTGAGGTAAGCTGGGAAGAGGAGTTGTTTAGGACCATGAGGAGCGCGGTGTCGAGTGTCCCTGTGGAGGAGAGCATGGGAGAAGAGTAGTGGAGCGTCGTTTTCTGTAGCTGCGCGCTGATCTGATCCCGGTGATGCTGCCGCTCAAGTGTTGCATGCTGAAGAGTCCCGACGCTCAGTGTGAGAGCTTTAAAGGATGTTAGGATGAAGGTTGGAAACGAGGGGAAATGAAGATGAAGATAAGAGTGGTAATTATGAATGACACATCACTGTAATGTTCATTTTATGGGGAGCTTTGGTGTTTTTGCCGCTCAGAAGAAGTGAGTTACAGGCTGAGCTGTCATTACATAGTGTGTTTGACCTATTTGCACTTTGTGGTGGTTTTATTTTCATCTTTTACAGTGGCTTAAATACATCAGGATAATTCTATAGGAGCGCACGCACGTCTTAAGGTTTTTTTTCGGGGGGGGGGGAGTAATTATGAAGCATGTTTGAATTCAGCAGCTATTTTTGCACCTCTCTGTAATTTAAAGCATGTTGCCCTGTTGACATAGCAGGGTGAGCGCATTTGAGTGGCACAGCTGACATTTCATTTGCAGCCTTGCATGAGGAGAACAGCAGCTGCAGTTATTCTTGTGTTGCTTTGAAAGCTGAGGTTTAATTAGCAGTGATCTCTGGATCAAAAAAATAAAATAAAATAAAAATGCAGCTCTTGTCCTGAAGCTGATTTTCTAAGCAGAAAGCAGTGACTAGGTGTTGTTTTTAATGCTCTTTTTTCCCCTAAACTTTCATGTGTCTCCCCAGTGCCAAGGGGTTAGTGGCATCATCATCATCACCATGGTTACCAGTTTTATGTTGGTGTACAACAGCAGCTCTGGCGACAGATCATCCTCCTCATCTGCATCATCGGTGTCATCCCACCGTGTAGATGGTCCTGCTCCATCCACGAGGAAGCCGGAGAGACTGCAGAGACTCCTGACACCAACACTTGAGGGGTACACAGGTGTCATGGATCATAAGGTAAACATGCACCATCTGTGCACTGTGAGATGATCTGTCTCTGTGTGTGATTTAGAGATACACAATGATGATGTTGCAGCTGGTTCTTCCTTTGAGACATTAGAGTATATTTGTTATTTCTGTGCAACTGTCAGAACTATTGTGTATGACTAATTTATCTAAAAGCTAAGGAAGCCAAAAGGAAGATGTGTATAATAATGTATTCTATTAAACAGGGCCTTTATTCTTCTTAATAAAAAATCTTAAAAACCTTAAAAACCTAAATCTCTTTAACTTTCAAAGAAATGCAGGACAGTGGTGCAGCAGGTGCTGTTGTGCTCCAGCAAAAACAAAGGCAGTGTTTGAGATGAGGGATCAGGTTCTTGTAAGTGTCACTCCCCCTCTCCTGCATAGAGAGGGGAGTGGGATTTGGGGGAATAGCACTCTGGCAGGTGAGAAGTGGCTTTTAAATGTTGTAGAAGGAGCAAATAGAGGCCAGCAGTGGAGATGGGAGTGACAAGTAGCAGCACATGGGATTTTGTTAAACCAAGCAGAGGAGAAAAAGTATAGAAAAAGGGAGTAAAGTGGCTTTAAATGTCTTTATATTCTCCGGGATGTGCACCGTCAACTTTCGCTTGATGCGCTGATTGAGACACGCATTTCATACAGTGTGGCTATTCTTCACATGATAGTAGTGCCCTCACTCTCCTGCCATTCTACAGTGAGGAGTTTGTTTGTCTGACTTTATTTGGACATGTTTGTGTTGATTAACCAGCCCTCACACAGCTCGTGCAGTATAAACCAAGTCTCATTTATCCAGACACATGCTCAGTACTTTTCCAAACACATGCATTTTCACTCAGGCTGCTTTCACACCTGCCCTGTTTGGTTCGGTTCAGTTGAGCTCAAGTTTGTTTGCCCCCTAAGTGCAGTTCATTTAAGCAGGTGTGAATACGGCAATCGCACTTGGGTGCACACCTTCTTGAGGTGGTGTTCTCGGTTCGGTTACAAACGAACTCTGGTGTGGTTCATTTGAGGTGAGAACGTGTTCTGACCTCGATCTGAACCAACAGCAGTCACATGACACATTGTTGGGTTAAACATGAGCATGTTCCAGTCCTGGAGGATTATTAATGTGCACCTCCTCCTGTACTGCCTTAATATGCACATTCAGCACATCCAATGCATCAAAACATTGTTTTCTAGTTGGAGCTGCACCTCGTTTTCAAACTGTATGGTTTGACTAAAATGAACAATGACAGCAATATAGTCCACGATGAGCAGCGCTAAAATCAACCTGCGTAGTTGTCCCTCTATTGTGACATTTTAAAGTGTCACATTTATCTTGCAAGTGTACTCTTCTTCAACAAGACTTGGAAAATCTGACCAATCAAGAGCATTTTTCTTGCACAATGCATTTTATCTGGTCTGCTTGTAACTGCTGCCGTGAGAACACGAACCAACTCTCGGCAATTATGCAACTTTGTAACAAAATTAGTCCCTGAGTCCGACCAAAGCAAGCAAATCTAAGTCTGAAAGCACCCTAAAATCAATCGATAGGTGAATATATTTGACATATTCCATGGAGGCATGTGAGAAAAACAAAGGTTTCTTAACAAAGTCAAGGTAGCATGACATGACTAAGTGATATACAGATGGTCATTTTGTGGGTGACATATCTCTTTCAAAAGAGCACTAATTGCTGTGGCACTTTAGCACATATATAATGCAAACCACACTTTATCTGTGTTCTTCTGTCATCCAGAGAAGCAGAGAGACTAGAATGTACATGTAGAGTTCAGGTATACACTGAAAAAAAAAGGCGTTTTGAAGCTTTGGGTGCTGCCCTGGTTTCAGGTGGAACTGAAGAATCCTCTTCTTTGTGTTTGACTGGTGCACTACATCATGCTCTCAGCCACTCTCACAGCCGAATCTGATGTCAAGGTTTTTCAGTTTGCGTAATACAATGTTAATTGGCATTTTATCTACATTTTATTGTTAAGCTTTTTAAGAAGTCCATCTCTTTTTAGCTTTAAGTTCTCTAAACGTGGTAATCTAAATTGTGTAGCAATTTCTTTTAATGAGGAATAGCTTCAAAATAAGAGGGAATTATTACAGCTTTATTGCCCCCTTTAAGGCTATAATAATACCAATTAATCTCTTAAACATTAATGTCAAAAGCTGAACTTGCTGTGGTAGTACCATTTCTAAATTCTCTCTGTACTTTACTCTGTTTCTTGATTCATAATTAATGTGCCCACCATGAAATATTTAGCGACAAAAGCACTCAAAACAGGATGGATTTCTACTAGAACGGCTACTCGAGACATCAGCGCTGTAATCCTCTGGTCACAGTCAGTGTTATCGTAATGCAGGGGCCTATCATTCAGACCCAGCACAGTGTTACAGACAGCTCATTCGGATAGATAGATCATTCAGACGGCGTCGTGTCTCCCCTCAGTGAGAAAGATATGCAGCGAGGCACAGCAGAGTGGAAAGTACATTGCGTTGCTCAGGCAGCACTGGGCAGGAGAGGATTTGGAGGGGAAAAAAGGTGTTGTTTACAGTTCACCTTTCAGTGATTAATGATCGGTGCTATGAGAGTGATGTTGGTTTGGAGAGAGGTTTGATCCAGCTGAGGCTTCCCTGGACTTCTTGACTTAGCCAGACTCTAAGTTAGGGCTCCTCTGAGGGGTTGTAGCCTCATCAGATCCTTTTAAAGTCCATGAAAAAGAAACATTAATGTACAGATTTTACAGCATCTCTCAGGAGAAGTGAAAGTGTTTTTGCAGTGTAGGCACTTTATTATTTACAGTCCTTCCTGACCATCCACCTCCTCCTAGTTGACAGCTGATTCATGATGGATTCACACTGCGACATTTTCATACTGCTTAGTGTCACTCTGCCCCCCCCACCTCCTCCCATGGGGGCTTCCAGCTCTTTCTGCTGGTGCTGCACCCTCCGACAGAGCCGGGGGAATGACTAACCAGAGAAGACCTGCTGTAGGATCTGAGGAGTGGGTGGATCGGTCTGTACTGTTCCCTTCAGGGTCGTCTGAGGTCTGCTGCTGCTGGAGGGAATCTTGGCTTTGACTCGCACACATATTCACACAGAACTGCATGCATGCAGACAACCCCATCCAAATACCCAGACATGTTGTTAAAATTTTATGCCCTCATCAGAGCCAGGGATGCTTGAAAATGCGAGGAGAGCTCTATCTAATGTGCCTGCTGGACCCTGTTTATGGCCCATATTAACCTATGTGCATAGCTTGTTGGCATGGGCTGTGATTTCATTAGGGTCTGTGGCTGCTTTGCTCATTTTTGTCTCACCCAAGAGTTCGCAAAACACCCAGCACACATTCAATGCTAAGGCCGTGCTGCGTCATGCAGCAGGGTTTTAAAGGCTATAAACATTTAGCTTTTCCTTCAGGCCTTTCAGTCCTTAAAGGTCCACTGTGTAGGATTTAGGGGTATATATTTGCAGGAATGGAACATAATATGGATGTTTTCTTTGGTGTATAATCGCCTGAAAATAAGAATCATTGTGTTTTCGTTGCCTTGGAATGAGCCATTTATATACATAGGGAGCAGGTCCTTGTCCCCACTGCCATGTTTCTACAGTAACCTAGAACAGACAAACCAAACACTGGCTCTAGATAGGGCTTTTTTATTTCAGCATTAGCCACTGTGTTTGGAAGCCCCTCTGTGGTGAGATCATTGGAAAAATTCCGATTTTTTAATGTGAAACTGCTTTATTCAGTGTCTTTACCTGTTTAAATCACCAGGTCAGTTTGTTTTGGAGAGGAGGAGACCTCTGTGGTTAATTTGGGTCATAGTAAAAACCTCCAGAATGTCTGGATGAGAAAATAGGTAAGCACACATTTGCAGGTACTGGGTGAGCAGTCTGTCCTTAACATGCCGAACAGGGTAGGAGAAACATTTTTTATAACTGACACTGTTTTATTCAGTGGTCCTAACAGTTTGGTTTACCAGTTTGGTTTTACCTGGCCTGTTTGTTTTGGAGAGGAAGATATCGCTGCAGATGCATCAGCTCCTGGTAAAAACCTCTTTAACAATGAAGACTGAAGGAATCGTAACCGGGAGTTCCTTCTTGGCACAGGGAGAAGTCACAGCTTGTTGCAATCTGCAATCCTCACCTCTAGATGCCACTAAATCCCCCTAAATCTCACGCACTGTTCCTTTAATGGTGATATGAAAACAGCAATACAGCATTGTTTAAGCCCACAAATCTATATGATGTGAGATCAGACTTCAAAGTTATAGTGCACAGTGCAATTTTATATGGGGGTATTTTGAGCAACTTGCAAGCAGTCTCAGCGTTCATTATGTTTCTCTCCGCTCGCCTTCTGCAATGTCTGCAGGTTTTTGCGAGATGTCCTCCTCTAGTATGTATTTCTTTTCTTTGACAAGCCACAGTAATTAGAGCTGCAGAGTTGAATAGACTCTTTCAAATACACACACACAAGCGCTACCCTATGCACACACACATTTGAACACCTACAGCCGCTCTGTTCTTTTGCTTCACTCCTCAGCTTCTCTCCCTCTCTCTCTGATGTTTTGCCGATTTCAGTTAAAGAGATGTTGACCTTTGAAGAACTGTCGGCAGAATCAATCTACATTGGCCTTTATACACTAATCACAAAGCCTGTGTGAGAGCATGAATGTGGATTGTGTGCCGGTGCCAGTTTATGATGTACCTACTTATTATGGGCAATACCTCTCTGGCTCTCACAGCCTTTAATGCAGTCAGCCTTGGAGAAATAGGTGTCATTATAAAGTCAATTGTGCAAAAAAATTCTCCTATCTACGCTGACCCCTCTCTGTGTAAGATGTGTTATACAATGGGTATGTTAATGTACAGCTTACTTAATGGATGAGGTACCAGGACCTGCAAATTTTAATAAGTAAGGGAGCACTCCTGGAAAAGCTGAATATATTATCAGGTATCATCCTCAGAGTAAGGTTACATCGCCTAGTTTGTAGTCATTCTTATCTACT